CGCATTCAGACAATTACTACTAAACCTGATTGTTCGTACTAACACTTTCTACCTCTCTGTATATATTCCTGTTTGTAATATATCTGTGTTATTCCATACCTGTGTTGGAGTTCTTCTTTATTGGTTCTACTTTGGACTATCACCATGGTACAAGGAACCGGACCATAACAATATCTAATTAATATAAAAGTCTCTCTAAGAACAAAGAATATTTGTCATTCTTTTACATTTCAGCCACTCTGTTTCGTCCTGTCAGTGAGCTACAGTGTTATCATGCATATAACAATGTCCATAGCAGGAGCAACGTAACTGAGAGAATAAATCTTTCTTTCAAACTCTCCCGTTACACCCCCACAGACAAAAGTAGGGGGGCCTATAGGGCCTAGTACTGAGAAATGTAAGAAAGGAAGACATTTTAAATATGGCAAAACAGATCAAACATGAAATAAAGACTTTCTTCAAATTAAATATAAATTAAATTTTTATTTCACTCTTTGATTGGATGCCCTCACGATATAGATGCCAGGGGCCGTCGAATCTTCTGTCCCCACTGCTGTTCGCTATTGTGGTGAGGTAAAAATACATTTTTACTTCATTTCTGTTTTATGTCTCCACATTCCTCTTGGGACAACTTTATAAAAGTCCCCCTGCTAGAGTAATATCATAGCCTTCACACAATAATACACACTATCCTATTTTTTTTAAAACTCAGCAACAATAGTTTTCCCTTAACGTTACTGATACTCGTTGTTGCCAACATCACTATCATGATCCCTGTTCCATTCTGTTCTGCTTGCTTTTAGACCCCTTAAAAGGAGAGAGAGAGAGAGATAGGAAAAATCCTAGAGGGAAACTTGTGTTGCCATCATCCTGCCCAAGTACTAGAGCCTCTTACTGCCAGCTCCCAAACGGTTTCAACGAGACAGGTCGCTGCTTATCTACACCGCGTCAAACTGTGTGGAATAAAGTAAACACAGCCGGTGGAGCCACCCTGGCCCTTGCCGTCACCCAGGCTCGCTGACCTGTAAACTGTCGATGACTTTACGTGCGGTGTGGTTCATGAGAAGAGCGGGTGAGGTGAGGTGAATGGAGGGGGGTGTTGGAAGGACTGCACCGGGGCGGGGTGGGGTAAGAAGAAAAAAAAATCTGGTTATTATTCTTCGCTTTCATTGTGCTTAAACACACACACACACACACACATGGACACACACAAACCAAAATACACACGCACGCACATATACACACACGCACGCACATATACGCACACGCACTCACAAGCACACAAACAAACAGACGTATACGCCCTTATACGCACACACAAACACAGGCAAAAACACACAAGCGCGCACACCTATCTACCTAAGTCAGTCTGTTGCTATCTATACATCTATCGCAGCTTGTTCATATTTCTCCCTGTCTCTCGCTATATATATATATATATATATATATATATATATATATATATATATAATTATTATAAATTAATTGATTTAAAATATGTTTTTTTTTGCTACACAGATCCAACCATGTTTCAAAAATAGAAGCTAAAAACCCCGAATTTAATTTTGCAATTAAATTAAAAGCATTAGTTCCATTTCATCTTCAAGCGAATTTTGGAGTAACTTTTAAAAATTACCGGGTTTTAAAGACACAGCTAAAATCACGTTTCCATGGTTACAGAATATTCTACTTAAATTGAACAAGGGTACTGTTCTTCCTTTTTATTTATATATATATATATATATATATATATATATATATATATATATATATATATGTGTATGTGTGTGTATATATATATTAAGACATGTTTCATTGAATAATTTAGACAAGTTTTGTCTACTTATTAACTTTCTGATTAACAGAGCAATTTTGTCATTGAAAATGACAAACACTACTATATTTGTCTTGAAAAACACCCCCCCAAAAAACTACCCTGATGACGACATTGTGCTAATGTCGAAAGTACTCTGAATAAATATTATGCATCAGAACGGTAATTTACTCTTACTTTAATAATGACACTAAAAAGCTTGTCCTTGAATATGAAAGGATCCAGTTGAAAATAAGTAGACAAAATTTGTCAAAAATTATTCAATAAAACATTATTAAATTATCAATAAAACCTGTCCTAATGAAAAAGTGCTGCAAAATATACGCAATATATATATATATATATATATATATATATATATATATATACGTGCGTATGTGTGTATCCGTGGCAACATCAACAAAAGCCCAGCCCGGTGAAATCCCAACGGATTAAACCCGTCGCCAAAAAAAAAAAAAATTATAGTTTGAAATTATATATATATATATATATATATATATATATATATATATATACAGAGATAGATCGAGAGAGAGAGAGAGAGAGAGAGAGAGAGAGAGAGAGAGATTTAATAAAAGTAAAATGTTAGGCACTTAGTTGATAGATGTTATCTTAAGCATCCCGACTCCAGTGTTTCGTAGCTGGAACCGCCGATAATCACTCCGTTCACTCGTCGGGGGATATAAGACAATGTCATAGATAAACTCTATATCCATCGAAGGTCACAAAATTTTAATTTAAATCTAAATTTAAGCGACACTAAATTATCAGCGTGTCTCTTGATGTGTAATTATAGCCGACATTTATCTCTATTTTCACATCCTCTTCCCATCCGCATATATACAATTCCATCAATAAAAACATTGCTTTATACTGATGTAGCCCTTTTAGAGGTCGAAATGTTTTTCATAGAATTGTTTACATTTTATTATGCAGCTGCCAAAAATGTTTTAATATATACAAATTTATATAAAATATTCTGCCATATACACTAACGTTCAAAAGTTTGGGGCCACTCCTATTAATTTTTCAATTGTCTCAAGAAGTAGATGTCTGTGCTTTAAATCAGAGAAAATTATTATACATGGTTAAAAAAAAGGGAGACATGATTTTTTTTATCAGAAATGTTATTCTGACAAAAAGAAGAAAAGATTCTTATGATTAAAGTTTGCTCTCGTCAAAATAACCTCCTTTATCCTTGGTTACTGCAGCACAAATGTTTAGCATTCGTTGCAAAAATTTCTCAAAGTATAAGTTTGATCATTGATTCCATTATTTTTTCAATGACTCTAAGAGCTCTTTTTCATTTTTTTTTTTCATTCTTCTGTCAAGTTCATTCCCTGCTAATTCTGGGGATAGCCTGAAACTTTTGAACTAGATATATATACTTATTATTAATATAAATTTGAGCACTGTTATTATACACTAAGCACTATTTATTCGCACCTGCACTCAATGATTATATATATATATATATATATATAAGATATTATATATATAATATCATATATATATATATATATATATATATATATATATATATATATATATATATATATATAAAAGATATTATATATATAATATCATTAAGTGTAGATGCTAATAAATAATGCTCGGTGTGTAATAACATTACTAAAATTTATATTAATAATAAATATATATTTATTTTTTTCCGGTAGTACAACTCTGTGTTTATATATAAATATTATTATTAATCTCTCCCTCCTCCCTCTCTCTCTCTCTCTCTCTCTCTATCTATCTATCTATCTATCTATATATATATATATATATATATATATATATATATATATATAGTGTAGAAGCTTTGACACGCGGACAAAGAAGGCCTTCCGGATATGAGGAATTGGTTACAAATCTGCATAAGAACTGAAATCATGTTTAACATTTATTTTCAATGTTTTATAGTAAACAAAATAAGCTAGTGAAATATATAGGAAATGATTTTAAGGAAAAAAAAATTATGTAATGTTAATGAAATTTCATTAAATTAAGTATGCCATTTATGCAAAACAAAATCGCTGATGATTCTTTCTATTCTCATATCATTCCTAACTTTTTCCGCATTTCGTTTTGCTTTTCTTCTTGAAATTTTTAAACGAAAGACAATTTTTAACTCTGCGTGCGTTATTGCAATCGTCATAGCTAAATGCTGGCTTTCTTTCCATAAAACTGACAACCTTTTCAATAGCTTTTTCAATTTTAGTCCAGGTTTCATCATAATCATGTTTTTAATTTTCTTGTTCATTGTGACAGTATGAACGCTGGAGAATAGTTTATTTGGAAGATTTTATAACATACAATGTTGACTTTCCTATGTTGAATTCAGCCATTAGTTCCAATGAACTTTCACCAGCGTCTAGTTTGTTTAAAATTTCCACTTTTTGCGATAACTCCAAAGTTGTTCTTTTCCTCTTATTCCCATCATCTTTTGCAACAATAAAAGCCATTAGGATGAAATAAGCATAAACAATTATCCAATGTAAATTTCCTGAAAAACAGAAATTTCTGATCAGTTACATATCACATAAATAGTTCAAATATACATATCAAAATCATATCCGGATATGCGGGATTCCGGATATGAGGCACTCGGGATATGAGGGATTCCGAATATGAGGGATTCTACTGCATATATATTCAGCAATCTTTCTTTTATACATGTTTTGTTAAATGTTCATTTATGAAGATTTACAAATGCCGAAGAGATTATTAGCCAAACCACAATTATTTTTTCCATATCACATTTTCCTGGTTGTTCTTTATCTGATAATTCTTTTGATTTCCGATCTATATTTGATCTTAACTCATAGAATAGTAAGTATACATAATAGTTATAAAGAATTATATATATATATATATATATATATATATATATATGGAGGGGAGGGAGGGAGGAGGAGACTGGGGAAGCAATCCCAGCGTAAGCGACCTTTGGAATATAGCCCAATATTTGGGAGTAAAATTTTGTTGATTGAATTATTGAGTAGCCGTCGGTAGTTGTGCTAGCACGAGGTCGCAAGTCATCGTGACAGAGGTTTAATTCACGCCAGATTATGCGCTCTCTCCTAGAAACTGCAACTAAAGGTCCGCGCAGCATAGTTGCAATATAAACTGCAGGTGATTCTGCAGGCGTCTGCTAAAGGGA